AGATCATTTCTCGTGCAGTCAAGCAGTTTCTACTAATATCTAGACAGCTTATGTACACAGAATCAAGAAAAGAACCTAAAATATTAACTCAGATTGACTCTATTTCTTTGGTTCTAGTGGCATATTCCTACTGCATTTGCTGAGTACAAGCACCATTATAACATCTGCTTGAATGGTATAACTCTCCTGTCCTCCTTTGAGATGTTTCTCTGGGTAGATTGTAAAACTCTAAGTTGTATTAGTCTCTTTTCTTCTATAAGAACAATCATTTCTTTAATGTCAGCTGAAAGAAAATAACTGGTTATTAAGGCATTAATGACTGAATCTGACACGGGGGAAAAAGTGCACATAAAAGTCTAATTGGGTGCATTCCTTGTTTTTGTGTGACTGACTCACAGCAGGTTTATGATATAATTGGGTTGATTTTCAGTCTTGTTTTGGGAACAGCTGTGATGTGAAAAAATCTCTTTCCCAAATCTAGTGCACAAATTAAAATGTGCAGAATTACTCTCCACACTATTAACTAAATTTCCTGCCACAGACGCATGGTAAATACTGTAAATGTCAAGGAAATTTCTGGGCTTGGGAAGCGTTAATGGGGAGGGAGAACTGGTAGAAGTAGGAGGAGGCCTGACTGATTCAGCTACTGCACTGCTGGCTTCGTTGTACGAAACTTCACATTGGTCTTAGCTCTGCCCCAGCTATGACTGAGAGCGAAATGGGCTTCTGGGAGTACTGCAGACAGAGTTATCCCACTGCCTGCTCAGAGATGGCTTTAGCTGTTCTGTCTGAATCCAGAACTGAGCATCTGACTTCATGATTTAGTCACTATCAGATCTGAGCAGGAAGAAGATTTTGATTCAGGCACTGCATTTAAATTTTGAGGGAAATGATATTTCCAAATTTTGTGTCTGGCTCTGAAGAACTATAGATCCTATCTCTAGGATTTTTTAGCTTAAAAAAAAAAACCAAAAAAACAAAAAAACAAAAACAAAACTGGGAGTTTCTCAGCCTTATCACATTCTGTTTGTTAGAGGTTAAAATTAAAAATCATCATCTTAGAGAGCAGTTGAGTTTCTCTTACTCTCTGTGTATATGCACTTTACCTTCAGGAAATCCAAGTAATTCAACTTAGCTTTGCAGTGAAAGAGGGTTTAAAAGGACTGCATTGTGTCTGATTCCTTGAGGGTACCATGGTTTGCTGTAGACTGAGAATAATACAGTTACCATGGTTGAGATGAAAAGAGGCTTGTTCTTACTTGTGGTATCTTGACAGTCAGTGTGAGCTGTAATAATGAGTTAGAGAAGTGATTTGGGACCATCTAGTTTGTCTTTCCTTTCTCAAAGAAAGCAGCTATGGTGATGAGCCTAGTGAACAAGCACGAAACTTGAAGACAAGCTCATAGTTATAAGAAAAATCTGTCAACCAAACAGCATCTTGTTCCTTCCCTTTGAATCATGTATCATGTGAAGGTCAATCTTTCCAATGGTGTCACTTTAGTTCTGTAATCCACAGTGACAACCATCACTCACTAGCCACAAGCATGCAAATTACGCCATTGCTGGAGAATGTTGTCTTTTTGTCATCCCACCTGTAGCTGCAGAGCTGGTGACAGCTCACCTTAAATCACATATGTCAAGGCACTGTAGCAGTATGTCAGGAAGGTGCAAATGTTTTAGAGGAAGTGAGAGTGGGTAATGAGGCATGTGTGCTAAAAATTGCATCTAATACAGTGGGGGAAAAGATATGGATAATACCAGAGGAGAGACAAAATGACAGAACTGGAGCTGATCTCATCCTTCAACCTTCATCCCACACATACACATATCAAATTCATTATTTTATGAATTAAGGTTGCCGTAACAGAATAGCAGTAGGTATGTGATACTGACATTACTGGAGAGTGAGTATGAAAGGCTTCTCTGGTCAATGATGCCCATAAAAAATAACAAACCACCATGTAATGGCATAATTTACTTGGTCCAGTGGAAAGCAGAAACTGGCTTATTCAAAAAACTTGAAACAAACTGCTGGTTTACACCCTTCAGCAGATAGATATCTTGGCAGAAGACACAAAACATGCCCTGTTACATGTCGAAACATTTTGGGAGACAGTAGAGGTGATTACCTTCCCTGAAGTGCATGGAAAGGTCAGAGCTGCATACCTTAAGTGGAGAGACTGTCAGTGGGCTTGGGGAGCAGTCGTGAACGGAGTCACTTGAGCTTCAGCTGTTGCTTCATCCCCTATGTAAGAGGCAGGTACTTGGGGTGAGGGCTAGGTTGACTGGCCTGAAAACTCAAACTTTTCTATTGGAAGAGGATGATACAATTACCAGGGGAAAAAAACTTACTCTGTTATGTTGCTTCTGACCAAGCTCAAATCTGGGATGCCTGACTTTTTAAATCTTTGCCTGTGACCTTTTACTTGTTTGTCTTCAGGGTCTAAAATCTGAAAACTATACTGCAGGATTATTTTTAGTACCAACTGAGCTGAATTTTGGAAGCCTAGTGGCAAAGCCACATTCTAAGAAAAACTTTTATCCCAGATTATAGTCTGCAATCACAGGGTGTCTTGGTTGTCACACCTAGAGAAGCTTGCTGGTCCCATGAATGTAGCTGGTGATCTTTAGTATTTATACTCCAGAACTCACCAGATCCTGCCCCAGAGAAAGTGAATTGTTGCTTTGTTCATTGGAAGCTGAGTGAGGATCAGGTAGAATGGTTCTTCAAGGGAGAACAGAGAGCACTCTGGATTTCACAAGTGATAAGTTACATTCAAATTTTAATTGACTTTTTTCAAATACACATTTTTCCTACTTCTGGCATCTACAACAAATCTCTTCAGAGTAGGAAAATCTTTTGCCTGATCTGGCATGCCTAAAAGAAAGCCCAAACTTGTTCTCCTTTTTTCTTTTAGTGGATACAAATTATAATTTGCAAAACAGTCACATAATGCACTACTAATCAAGCTTTTTAAAATGAGATTTGATTTAAACACTTCTTGCTTGTGAAATAAATAGTTGTCAAACAAACAAAACATATATTATCTGTTCTTTACACTGACTTGAGCAATAGTTAATACCGTTAAAAAGGAAGACTCTAGCATATATGATAGAATTGGGATATTGCTTTTTTAAAATCACATCAGGAGAACAGTATTTGTATTAAAACATGGTAATGTGTGTGGAGAGAATCAAATGTCTAGAAGGATTAGAATCATCTATTTTCATTGATCTTTGTTGCCATAATGTTGGGAGAAGAGAGGGGCATAGGAGAGGATTTCCTTGTGATGAAATAGAGTTTTTGATGAAAACAAAATATATTTGAAATTTTCAGAAAGATTCAACCATGAAAGAAAATTTTAAATATGCAGCTAAATAACTTTATATTTTCAATACAATTTCTCCAAGAACTATTGTAGAAAATAATTTCTCACAGGAGTACCAAGGTATAAGCATGTCCCACCTCAATGTACCACCACTATCCAACCTCTGCTGACCCCTTTGCCTGATCCACAGGCTCATGAAGTCAGCTGGAGCTTTTCTGTTACCCTTTGTGATGTTTTCACTGATGTTTCCAGTTCCTAGCTGGCTTCTGTCTATACTTATTGATGAGGAATCCTGTGCTGGATTATGGGGCTAACTCATTTTTCTTGTATACCACAATCCCTAAAAAATTTATATTTAAAAAAGAATTACCAAGGAAAAACTTATCTTAATGACTGATATTTCTCTGGTAATATTTTTCTTCAGTGCTTTATGTTACATTTTTAATGGATATCTATTTTTCTCCCGTCCAATAACAATGAAGTGATACAGTTTTCCATCACACTTCTGATACCTCTGTACCAGGACATTTCCTATTGAAACTCCATGCCTACAGATGAGGTAGTGCTATGCTTAGAATTTCATCTTATTTTACTTGTTTTAAAGGGCTTGGAAAAAAACAAATCTGAAATAGTGATAAGAGCTTCAAGTTTCACCCATTTCATAGCGTGTTACCTTTTCTGACTTCTCTGATTTTCTAGTGGGCAAAATACAACAGAGCTTAAACAAATTGGACTGAAGTGTCTTCTCATCAAATGGCAAACAAGCACCATTACATTCTGTGCTGCTTCCGCATGTGTGCCCCTCATTCCTTCCTAGACCCAGTTGTAAGTTGAGGGTCTGGATTACAGTTTAGTGAGTACAATTTATTTGGTAATAAAAGGAATTATGGAAACAGTTGGTATGGAATGCTGCTGCAGACACTAGATAATCCCCTGCACATAACCAGCTTTGTATGACTTGTAAAAAACAACTTGAAATAAGTATGTATGCTGTGATATAGGGCTACAACAGAATCATATCCAGTATATAAAAGGGAAAGACGAAGCTTTTTATTCTGTTCTTAAAAAAAAAAAAAATGCAATGCAAAGTTTGTAGGCATAGGAAACATCTTTACTGGTCCAAATAACTGCTATTCAAATCCACATTCTAATACCCCCAAAAAAGTTTTGTGCCTCTAAAAGTGTGCCCCAAAAGTAGCCCATTTTTTCCAGCTGCATCCTTGGTTCTAAGAAAGTATATTACCTCTTCTCTGAAAACCTTGCCTCACATCTGGCCTCAGGCTGCATCATCTGCTGGAACCACCCTATTAAATACACTGTACACAGATAAAGATGTTTTGCAGATATACTTTGAGAACATATGCAAGCAGTTATGTTTCTGTCTGTATTACTGTTGAAGCAATCTCTATCTCTGTCAGGAGGACAGGGTAAGGTAGTAAGTTCTTGTCAGAGGTAGTTGTGTGGTTTGAGCATCCTGCTTGTCGAAGAGAAAGAGTTGATGTATTTCTGTTTGTCAGTGATAGGCACCCATTTGTAATGATGTGATAAAAGTCTTCTTATGTAGGTCATATAAATATGACCTACCCATTTCTTTGTATACAAGGTCCTTGTATTATTATCAAACAACCAGCTTTAAATACAAACCTCTTTTCTCCCTGCATATCTTTGTCCCTCTTATGTCTTCTGTATATTCTTTACCTCTCTCTTGCCTCCTCATTTATTTTGCAGTATGCACTTTCTTCCAAACCTGCAGAGAGAGACTTTTTAACAAGGCCTGAAGTGACATGAAGAGAGGCAACTGTTTTGAACTGAAGGAGGGTAGATTTAGATTGAACATCAGGATATTTTTATAGTGAGGGTGATGAGACACGGGAATAGATTGCCTAGAGATGTTGTGCATGCCCCATCATTGGAAGTGTTCGAGGTCAGGTTGGATGGGGGTTTAAGCAACCTGATCTAGTGAATCTGCCCATGGCAGAGGGGTTGGACTATATGATCTTTTAAAGGTCCCTTCCAACCCAAACCATTCTATGACCTGTCCAGTGGGAAGAGGCAATTTTTTACATTTTATTTTTTGAGATCATACCAGTTCCTATGTTTACATCTAGAGGCATTGGTTCTGTCCCTGAAAACAATCTATCTAGTTCAGCATACTTGAACTTAGTCTTTACACTAGTTCCAGTACACAGCCCCTTCTGTCCTTGGCTTCATGACAGTCCTTGATCTTATAGATTCAAAAGCATCCTTTAATCTTTTGTTGTTATTTATTTATTCAATACCCACTATTACATCTACAATCAGCTTTTGACTAAAATGCTTACCATTTCACAACATCTTTACTTCCCAGATGAAGTCACTAGAGCTCATGAAGGAATAGAGTCTTGAGAACAAAACTTCTCTTACAGGTGGATGCAATGAGTTCTCCAGATAATGTTTCTCTCAAATATTTGATTCCTCAACAAGCTACAAAGAAATTATAAATAATAACAGAAGATGTAAAAGAGAAGTATCTTCAGAGACTTCTAGATTATGGTTGTGACTTCCCAAAGTCAGTCTTCTAAAATCTTGAAATCCATGTTTTGGCAAGGAGGCAGTGTTAGTCCATGCATGCTTTCCTTGATTTGAATGGAAGATACAAAATTAAAGTTGAGTATATATTCAGTTTGTCCATCACTTTTACATATTCTGACTACATACCTTTTCTCCTTTCCTTTCTGCCTCCCACTCCTGCTTCTTTGCATTGCTCTTGCTGCATAGTAAATCTTTCAGAAATATTAAACATGAATTGATCATTATCCTGTCTTGCCTATGTTGTCAGTCAAGCAGAAGAAGGACTCTTGTTTCTGAAATAGTTCATGTTTCTTGGTTCATTTGTTTCCTTATTAAGGTCAGATGGAAGATGAAGGATGCTATTTAAAAAAAAAAAAATCAATTCAAGGACACAATGGAAAACAGTACTGTTTTATGTTACATTAACACCTTATCCTATCAAGGTATTAAATATTTTATAAATTCTAAAAAGCAGACTGTGTTGCAGATTAGATATTTTCTCTTAGCTTTGGCTTCAGCTTCAATACTGCCATCTTCTTTCTGCTCTAATTTTCTTAACTCCTCAGAGCCTTAATTCTGCTGCTACAGGTGTTTCTCTTTTTTCTTCTTATCAGATCAGTTTCAAATATAAATGCTGCTGCCATATTTGATGCTATCTCAAACTTCTTTTTTGATTTCTTTTTAGTGGTTCATCTTTTCTGCTGAAATCTTTGGAGAGTTAAGAACCAGTGCAAAGATAAATTATTTGGGGCACCTGGGCTTGACTTGCATTCGGCAGATATAAAACTTAGTTCCATCTGGGGGAAAAAAGTTACATTTCCAGCTAACCAGGATCCTTGTTCATATTTCTGAAACTGGAAAAGAGCAAAGTTAAGCCACTTACATCTCATAATCTGTCTCTCAAAACTGTGTGCCATGATTTATTATTAAAGTAATTCACTTTAACTAAGAGTACCTGTGCCTGAATGCTTCAAATCTCAGTACAAAAGTGGAATGATGACAATATTTTTATCCAAAAGCAATAATATAATGCCCTGAACTAAATCAAGAAAATAAGTTCAGTCAGGCCCCTTTTTCTTGCACCAACTTCTGAACTAAATGTTACGCAGCTTCTGGATGATGTCTTGAGACTAACTGCCAAATGACTCCATACGATCACAGTGAAAGTTTTTGAGTCCTTTCTAGTAGCTACGGCCCCTGCCTGGTTTAATCCAACTCAAGCGGGTGAAGTTCATATCTTCCTTGATAAGATTACACATGTAAACATGCTGACTTCACTGCCAGTTGTGAAGTGAATTCCTACTGAATGGTATCAAGGTAAATTCCTGTAATTTTCTCACTGCAGAGACTGAGTTTCAGAAATACGACTGTTTCTAACCCCTGCAGTAGTCTCCAGATTAACATAGTTTGTGTCATTTGAAATTACTACTAGATGTCATTGGGCTCAGAGAATTCAGTCACGAAGGAACTATCATTGACATTTGTGAGCACAAGATGCCATGTTCTGGCTTTACGTACCTCATCTAAATCTTGTTGGAGCCAGTATGTTTTTCATGGACTTCAGAGACTTATACATAAAACTGTACAAGCACACAAAAAATCTTAACACTGACTTGTTCTGTAAACAATTGCAGGTAAGTCTGTCTATAACTACAGAGCAATTCTTTTACCTACATCTGAATATTCATCACTAATACTCTTACTGCTTATACCTTCCTTAAAACTATGTTGAGATATGTGAACATTGAATTATAAACACATGAATATTATGCTAAAAATTAAATTTGGATAACTTGTCTGTGAGGATGTTTCATGAATATGAGCTGATGACAAGTTTAATTAACATCACTGGAAAATGTGAAAGATGCAAAAAATAGGCGAGGAAGGAAAATAAAATTAAAAAATTAATAAACAGAAGAATTCCTGTTGGACCATTTCACAGCAACTAACCTTAGCTGAACCACCGGGTCTGTTAATCTTGAGTAGGTGAAAATTGTTGGTATCAGCTGCCAACTAACCAGGGGTTCAGCTGGATTCTTGTCCTGCTTGGACATTCACAGTGCAGCCTCTGTATGTCTTGATCACCAAGCATAAGTGTTTTCCTCCCCTCCTTCTCCTCAAATACAGAAGTAGATACTCTGTATTCCACTGCACTTGAGATACAGTTCAGAATTTGGCTGAGGGTGATTTTGGCTTAGCATGTCAGAAATGGGAGTTCTTTGGCCAGGCCATTCAGTTTTGCCGTAGCATTTCTCTCTGTCATGATCACCAACGAAAAGAGGTCACATAGTGCCTGGATGTTTTCCAGGTACTGGGAAATCCTTTCTTATCCCTTCTGTAGGGCAGAAAGGAAATATTGAAATGTCTACTTTGGAAGCAAAGCTACACCAGTTTAATAAGAGCTGTTGACAAGTTTAATAAATATAATTGGAAAATTTGAGTGATTTAAACAACATGTCATGAAAAAAGCTAAGATTAAAAATATATATAAAATAAATCCTGTCAACCATTTCATAGTATTTCACAAATGGCTAAGAGGGAGAGTTAAAAATCATCAACCTAGTTTTAAGGAATAACACAAATCCTTCCTTATCCTGCCTATTACAACTTCTTTTGGGACAGTTCTGCTATCTATAGGGAAGTAGTAGAGCTTGTTTTCTGAGGGTAGAATCTGAGTTATGTAATTTTTTTGCCTTTCTTCCATATTCTCTTTTACCATATTCCTTATCAGGTTTCACAAAATGGTTATTTCTTCTGCATGTTATCTGCTAAGACAATTATAATAACACACCTTTGATTTATCCTTACTCCATTCCTTGTAATCACCTGAGATTCTGTATTTATTAAGTCTTAAGAGAGTAATTGCAAAAAGAAAGGCCTGTGTTTTCGTGATTTTACTATTATTACAAAACTGATAGTACTGTGCAAGCATTTTTACTCCATACATAAAATAATCAGTGTTCCTTGTCCTACCAGTACAAAACGTTGTATAATAAAATAAGCATAATAATAAATAAACAGTATGCCTACAAATCTGGTTCAGCTTCTAGTTAGAAAAATCTCTGTTTTACTAAAGAGCCCTACATTACAGGGTATTGTAATAAATCAAAATCTGTCAAGAAAAAAAAACAACCTACTTATTGCAGAAAGTTGCTTTGATGCTAATGCCTCTTTTATTTCTCATGAGAAGATTAGCTCAGGGTCTTGAAAGTGCAAAGGAACCCAATCTGTCAACTTAAAAGATTTTTTTAATATGCAAATAAATAGATTAATTTTCTTATAAAGCCAATGTGTTACCACCAGATGATGAGTCTCACATTTCTTCTAGCACCCTTCGAGTAGTAGATGTCTTTTCTGACATTTTAAAAAAAAAAAAACCTCAGCTGTTTTTTTTTTGTGTGTTTTTTTGTTTTTTGTGTTAGAAAGACCCTTAGGAACTCTGTACTTGAGTAATAAGGACCTGTGCACATTTTTATTTTTCTATTCTGTAAAGAATTCTAGGAGACTAACTGGGATGAGACCATCTTTTTTTGTTGTTTCTTTTTTTTTGTTGTTTTGTTTTGTTTTTTATTTGTTTGGTTTGGATCAGTTCTGGTGAATTCTTCTTCAGTACTGGAACAAGGAGTCTGACATTCATTTAAAAATCAGAGAAATACTGTGGACTTACTGCTTTTTAATATTTTCATGGCCTGATTTTGGAGAAGGGTTTTTAATGAGTTGTAGTCTGATTTATCTGTGAAAAGGGGTTCGCATAGAATCCTGCTATTAGATATTTGTTTAAATTCATAACTGAATAGGTTCCTAAGTGACCATGGAAATATACTTTTTCATACATGGTGTTTTTCTGCTGAGGGAAGGTCATACAAGTTAAGGTACCTACATGTGTTGGTGTGTTCTTGTCAGAAGATACAATATCTGTGATACATCTCAGCTACTGGACACTTAAAATTAGTGTTTAATGCAAGTTTGTATCTAAATTATATAAAATACAACAGTTATGTTATTTTCATGTTCTGCAAAGCCAAGGACTGTCTATGTCTGCAGTGCTTAGAAGACGTTTTGAACCATTCCCAGCATTAATCTTTGAATTTCCCCAATAGAACATGTCTAAAACACCCATTTAACAAAGATGAACTCACATGTGAGATCAGAGATCTTTGCCTTCAGTTGTATAAGCACATATCTTTACACAGAAATGCCTTTATTGTTTAATTTTTTTTTTTTTTTTAAGTAAAAGGCAGAAAGCTTTTAACTTAGCTGCCTGGATCCCTCTCTGCTTTTGGGCTGTATACCCAAATACAAGCTTCTGAACAAGTAGGAGTCACGATGTTTGGTACTGAAAACAGTAAACACAGGGACTTTGCTCTCTAAAGATTTCTTGAAGTTCATATTGAGATGGATCTCTTGCTACACTGCTGGAGCAGAGAGCGGTCAGGAATAGTACACATATATGTTTTCTTTTCAAAAGAGATTTCTTCACAGACAATTAGGAAGCTTTTGTAAAGGTATATCAAATGGAAGTTTAGAGCTTTATTTTGTTTGCTTCTAACTCTAAGGTTGTAAATACCTGCAGAGCTGAAAATAAATAAAACAGGTGACAAGATCATATATTTAAACTGCTTAGAGCAACGTAAATCATATTGCAGTATTGATGGAAATTACACATATGATAATTATACTTTACACTGGTTGCTCCAAGGACTGTTCTCATTTCATATCCATCCATTAATAGTGACTTCATTTCCATGGGGTGTTAGAACATTATATTTTATTTCCAAGTTTCTTTATATATCGCTATCAAAAATATTTCTTTTTGTCTCTCCATCAATTACTGAGAAAAAAGAAAAAGATATGACAAAAATCTGAGGGACAAGAAAATGCAGTTAATTTTTCTGGTTTATCAAGCTATCTTTACCATGTGGTGTAATAAGAAATAACATAATAGGTTTTAGATTTGTGCAGCATGGTAGCAAATGTTCTCTGAACTGCCAAATCAATCTTAACATATCTTCTACTAAATGTATTGTCATACTCCATTAAAAGCCATAGACCATACTGTATCTGGATCTGTCAAGGGTTCACAAGGGCCTTAACTGCCCATAAAACACAGTGAGCATTAGCTTTTAACAATGCTGGGCTTCTCTTCAAAGCTCTAGATGGTTATTCCTACAGAAGAACACAGAGAAGGTAATTTAATCTAAACACAGTAGTATTCTTCCCAGCATATACATCCAATTAAGTAAGAGA